GGACAACAGAAAAGTGGGTGAAGGGAGACGTTGGACAGGGAAAGATAAGACAAAATAAACAATTTATAAATTATTGGGGGCTCGTGAGGGAGGAGGGAGCAGGGAGGGAGAGGGGAAAAAGTGATGACTTGATGCCGGGGGCTTAAGTGGAGAGCAAACGTTTTGGGAATGATGAGGGCAATGAATGTACAAATGTGCTTTGCACAGTTGATGTATGTATGGATTGTGATGGGAGTCGTGTGAGCCCCTAATAAAACGATTAAAAAAAAAGAAATTTCATCATTATTAAAAAGCTGTTATATTATATATGGTCTTGTGACAGATTTCTGTTTCTATTTTGTTATATCATGCATTTTAGCCTATTGGCTTTGTACTTTATGTTTTACTTAATATTGTTATATTCATTTTATTTGTTCCTGTTTTTGGCACCTAAGCTGTGGCAATCCAGAAACAGAAGTAATCATTTATGGGTTGAAGGAAGACTTATGAACAACTTGTGATCTGCAGATGGCCGTAGCGGAAAAAACATTTACCCACCCCTGATCTATTTCAATATGAATATATAGAATTAGAGCAATTTTTCCCTCACAGTGTTTTACATTTTTCATTGTGAAAATATTTCAATTAAATTTAAAATTTTTTCTATAAAGTTATTGCATATCATATGTTGTATTTAGTTCTAGGTATATATATATCTGTTTCCATGGACTTGTAGGCTCCCCATGCATGTTGGATGAATGAATGTAATAATCAATGAATAATATGGACAATGATATTATTAAATTTTTATTACTCTATTATTAGTATCCAGATATAAATATCTTATGTTTATATACTTTGCTAATTTTTTGTTTAGTTTTCTAAATATTCTGTTCTTTTTAATTTAGAAAATCTTATCCTTCTTGAGCAATACAAATTTTGATTATTTTGTCCCAATTCTTCCTTCACACTTTTTTTTTTATAATTATATGACTTTTTAATGACATTATATTAATCATTTAAAAATATGTTTTCAAATGCATGGGAAGAAAATACAGAGTTCTTAAAATGATATGCTTCCCTATTTACTAAATTCTTTTTTTTTAGGTTTATTTATTTTTTTATTTTTATTTTTTTTTAACATTTTATTAGGGGCTCATACAACTGTTATCCCAATCCATACACACATCAATTGTGTAAAGCGCATTTGTACATCGTTTCTCAAAACA